ATTAGGAATGATCGTGTAACCCTAGGAAGCAAAGACACCTGAGCCTGTGCAAGATTCTATCTTTCTCCATAACCACCAGCAGCCTTCTTGCACACTCAGTCATTAGCTAATATCCAAAAGCAGATACTGACTCTGTAACAGGGTCTGTACTGGATTATGATGTGGCTCATTCCTTTTACCTTTACCCCCCAGAAGTTTCTACACCAAATGTAACCTTGTGTCGAATATAAATTTATCTAATAATGGGGAAAAATAAAAAAGTGACCATCAGTCTAAATAGAAGGAAAGATGTTTACTGTGATGTCTTATACTTCCTGGTCTTTATTCTTCTGCTTTATTGTGATGACATTAATATACACCTTTATTTTATTCTTTACATAGTTTGTATAGGTAGATTACTTATTTGCTAATTCCATGATGACAGCATTGTAACGGGGTTAAAAATCCCTTTCAATAAGGGTTTAAAGTGATAGTATTTTTATGATCATCACAAAAATAAAAATGTAATCAAACAATATATCAATACATTATTCTGATAATATAACCATCCGAATTTGAAAATAAATATGACTTGTTTATTTGGTAGGAGCTAATGCAAATATATGCCTTTCATTTAATTTCTTTTAAAATAGTGCTATATGATGAGTTCTCAATAATGCTTGACATTTCAAATATTTACATGGTATAATGAAAATAAAAGAATACTTCCATCACCATGGTAAGATAAAGAAGACTTCAGTCAAGAGAGTAAATTAGTTTAGAGAAATATTTAAAGATAATGGCAATTCCTATTAACTTTAATTGAGAAGAACTGGAATTTGACATTAGAGCTTCCTGAATTCAATGGTATTAACAATCATCTGGTCCTTACACTAGCAAAACACTAGGGGTCATTCAAGTCATATATGTACAGACATTTTTCTCTTTACAACTTATGGACTAAATTTTTCAGACTCCATTCAAAGGATAGGTGGATAATAACAAAGGAGAGTCTAATAATGCTCGACAAGAAATGTACTCATTACATTACTCATGTAAGTATAACCCCATCTACACAGCATCTTTGCAATAAAATAAAATTTTAAAAGACACCAATGGCTCCCACTTCAAATTCTACCTAACTGAGGGTTGAGAATATGTGGTTTGAAGGCCATCCTGGACTAAAAAGTTCACAAGACCCCTTTTAAGCTGATAGAGCTGGACACAGCGGTGTGTACATTTTATCCTAAGCTATGCAAGGGTGTGAGGTTTGGAGGATTACATTGACAATTGGGTTATTTTAAACTCATATTCACCTTTTGCTGCCACCTTACTGGGACTCCAAGATGTGGTGTTTAGCTGCTTCTTTCCTTGAAAGTAGAGACACGTCTTCAACCACTGAATAGGATGCATAGCCCTTCTTGCTGGCTAATCATGGAGCACAGGAGTGAGCTACAGAGCAAAATACTATCTTTAAACTGGATTCAGATGCAGAGAAGACTGTTAAGAAATGTCTACTTGGGAGATAAGAGATTTCAAACTCAGAAGCTATTAAGAAAAAACAGGCAGATACAATTCTACATGCCCTGACATTCAAGGATCTACTCCATCCACACAGATTTTGGAGTAATGTTGTGTGATTTGTGACTAGACATCACTTTTATATTAAGGAAACACTCCCCATTTCATCAGAAAGAACATCCATTTCAGCCTTGGAAGGGAACTGTTTCTGTGTGAATTAATCTGTTCTCAAACAGTAAGGGATGGGCTGTGTGTGATGACAGAGACTACAGGACAGTGTGCAGAACCTGTGGTCCAATCATGCTCCTTAACTCGCCAACATTGGTCTCCAGGGATGGTAAAGAGTTTCCTCAACAAGTAGTTTTCCAAGGCACAGGATGTGCAGCAGCCAGACAGTGTCGTGGCCCCAAACAATAGCACTTTGCAACACAATGGACATTACAAGGCAGTGCACCTGCCTCAGTCTTTTCCTTAATGGTGGCCAGATCTTAGGCACTTGGGGACACCTACTTCGACAAAAAAAAAAAAAAAACAGGATTAGGAATTTGAAGCATGTCAGAGGCTACATTGTAAAAATAGTACTTTCTATTTTTTATTTTTTAAATTTAATTTTATTATAAAGATGCTGTACAACGGGGTTATATTTACATGAGTAAATCAATGAGTACATTTCTTGTCAAGCATTGTTATCCTTTCTCTTATTGTTCTCCCACTATCCCTTCCTAGTTTGTATTATTTATCTTTTTATCCTCATGCTTGTTCAGCTTCCTTGCTTGTCTGGTCCTCTATAAAATGAGCCACACTTTCAGTCCACCTTCTTGAATGTTAGTTGGGATTTGATCATGATCCTTGAGATCTCCATACTCCTGTATGGTTAGGAATATATTCATGAGATACTGATATCTGACAAATGTTTTCATGATTATATTTTGATTCTATGAGCTCATGACATAATTTCTACTGATTCTTCATTTTGCCTCAATCCAAGTTTCCATATTGGATAATTACAGTATTAATCGTTGGGACAACCATAACAAATTTCACAATTTTAGTGTTTAGAGTAGCAGATAGAAATTGTTTTGTCATATATTTGATTGCTGGAAGGGGAAATAATGTGTCTGTGTAGCTCTGACAAAGCATCCTGTTCTTCAGCAGGTTTTGATAAGGTCCAGTGAAATTTCAGCCATTGCATTGAGAAAAATACAGTGGATTTACTCTTGTGTTTTAATCTGGGAAATTTACATTTCAAATATGGACTCCTTGGTGTGGGTGCTCTACATATAGCCTGGGATGAGATGAAGTAAGGTTCTCACTAAGAGCTATAAACCTTGACAGGATCACATTTTGCTCATCAGAAAATTAGTCATTGTTCCATTGTACATAGACAAATAGAAAGAAATATGTGATTAAATGCCCAATTATCATGGAGAAATAATGTAGGTTTACTAATTAGATTTTAAAATAATTCCGTGAAGTTTTATATTCACATATTTAGGTGTAAACATCTCTGCTGTTATCCAATTTATTTTCTTTTGGTTGGTTGTGGGGCCTGAACTTTGGGCCTGGGCACTGTCCCTCAGTTCTTCAGCTCATGGCTAGTCCTCTACCACCTGAGCCACAGCTCCACTTCCGTTTTTTTCTGCTTATGTGGTGCTGAGGAATTGAACCCAGGGCCTCACGCATGCAAGGCAAGCATACTACCACTGAGCCACCTTCCCAGACCTCCAATTTATTTTTTAAATGTTATGAGCTCATTGACTGTAAGAAAGGCCGTTTTTTTCCTGTGTCCATTTTTTTCAGCCATGATCACTCTGATTAGTTTATTAGATCCAATAACTATTATTTTTGGTAAATTCTATTTTATTGTAAAAATGCTGTACTGAAGGGTTACATTTACATGAGGAAGCCAGTGAGAACATTTCCTGTCAAGCATTGTTACACTTTCCCTAGTTGTTCTCCTTCCATCCCTTTCCTCCCCCACCACCCTCACCCCTTCACCCTCCCCTTCACCCCTCCACCCCCGCCTTCCCTGAAGTTATAAAGTTCATATCCAATATACTCTCTTGTGGATATGTTGCAATGTGTCATCCTATGTCTTTGTTTCACAATTTTGTTAATCTTCTTCCCCTCCCCAATTAGACAAATGTATATACAAGATGCAGGGTATCAAAATCAAGTACAGTAACAACAGGGGATATACCGTAGGGGGAAGAACATACAGAGGAAACAAAATAATCACATAGTACATTAAAAATAACAACAATAAAGAAAGACCTCTTGTGTCCATATCTTGGGGTTCATTTCACTTAGCATCATGTTATATGGTCATATGTACATACCTTTTGAGCTTTTTCTGCTCATCTGATAAAATTGTCCTATACATACACTAGTTATTGTAAATGAAGGAAACGATAGGACTTTTATTTCTTTGGGTCTGGCTTACTCCACCTTAGGTCTCTGGGACTGTCTTTTTTTCCAGTCCTGTACTTGAACTCAGGGCCTGGATGCTATTCCTGAGGCTCTTTGTGCTCAAGGTTAGTGCTCTACCACTTGAGTCACAGCACCACTTCTGGCTTTTTCTGTGTATGTGGTACTGAGGAATTGAACCGAGGAATTCATGCATACTAGGCAAGCACTCTACCACTAAGCCACATTCCCAGCCCAGGACTGACTGTCTTATTTCACAATTAGTCGGGTGATTCTTACTCCATCCTCATATCCACTTCTCTTCCACCTGCAACTGAGAGCTATTCCTCTAACTGTTCTTCTCTCAAACCCATGTCAGAGGAATGATAATCAGGAGACCTTGTCTGCACCAGGAGTGCATGTTTACCATAAACCAGGTCCAGCATCAAAGCTCTATTCATTATGTGGAGGGGGAAGAGGAAAACAAGAATTTATTTCTATACTCTGCTTTGTTCCAATAGTGTGTGAAATACTTCAGTTAACAGGGTTGCTATAGGAACCTGTCATGTAGGGCCTGGTACAGATGGACTCTGACTTTGGCAATGCCTGGTCTGTGAGCTACTGGCCTTTGGGGGAGCATTGCTATCTTTGTCCACCTGCAGCAACAGCTTGGAGTCACAATAAGATGGTGGATTCATTGTCAAGCAAATGTCCTGTCCGTGTCTTTTCAGTTGTGACATCCAGCACTAGGGTGAAGAGCTTCCTCACATGCTGGACTCCAGGTGGGAGCCTTCCTCATTGTACTCTGGATTTATCACCTGTGGCATTTTCCCTTGTCTTCTCTGGGCTTTGCATCTCTGGTGTCCCACTTCACACTTCACTATGCTACATGTCATCCTTTCAGAGTTTGCTTATATCATAAACTCTAAATTCAATCACTGAAAACTTCATTAATTACAATACCCTGGTATGTTTTTTTGTATCTGGGACATCATGTCTTGACTGAGATACTGAAATATGGCATGTTGGTACAGCTGTGCTGGCCCTTTCCAACCCCTACTTATTTGCATGTGCCCAGAACACAGCCCACTACCCTGAGCAGTTCTTGAAAGCTGCTCACATCCTGTGCAGGAGTCAGTCCTAGTCAGCACACAGCATGGACATGAAGGCCCCTGCTCATTTCCTGGGGTTCCTGCTGCTCTGGATTACAGGTAAGGAAAGACTACGTTGAGGATCTCCTCAGTTTGCTGTAGTCAGTGATGCTTGGCTGTTTATGAAGCTTTCTTATAATATGCTTGATTCTATGTATATTTATTACTTTTCCAATGCCAGGTACCAGATGTGACATCCAGATGACTCAGTCTCCATCCACTTTGTCTGCATCTCCTGGAGACAGAGTTTCCATCACTTGCCGGGCCAGTCAGGGCATTAGCAATGCCTTAAACTGGTACCAGCAGAAACCAGGGGGAGCTCCAAAGCTCCTGATCTATGATGCAAAGTATTTACAATCCGGCATCCCCTCCAGATTTAGTGGCAGTGGATCTGGGACAGAGTACACTCTCACCATCAGTAGCCTGCAGCCTGAAGACATTGCTAATTATTACTGTCAACAGTATTATAATAACCCACCCACAGTGATACAAGCCATAACATAAACCTCCAGGAAGCAGAAGTGTGAGCCTGGGCTGTCCCAGCTGCTTTCTTCATGCTTCCTCTTGCCAGAGCTGTCCTAGAATCATAGGACAGGAATCCTGCCCAGGCTAACCTGGACCAGTGAGCTTCTATATCTCAATCTTTGGAATAAGTGTAATTATAGATGTGCGATACTGGCACTGTGCTAAATGTTGAAATATTAATATTCCATTCCAGACTATAAACATGGAAATACTCTGACTTTATCCAGGTTATTTTATTCTTGAATAGATATTCACAATGTGCACAAAGACACTTCGAATTTATTTCAAAACTTTTATTTTGAGAATTTTCAATACTTTATGCATGAATTTCATCAGCAAGTAAAGACAGTTTGCCACTTCCTTTTTCTGCTTCAGGTCTTTTGTGCTTTTTTTCCAATTAGTTTTAGCTTTTCTTATTGTATTTGGAGAACCTCAGTACAATTTTAGGTACTGAAAGTAATAGTGAACATTTCATAGTTTAATGCAGCTTGAGTGGTAAAATGCTAAATAACCATATCAATGAGTACAAAGTTTGTTGCAGAGTTTGCCTGCTTATTAAAACAGGTATTTTCCATTATTCCTGACCTGCTGATATGTAATGGATAGCTGTTGATGCTATTAGAAATATTGTTTCACATAAATGTAGACAGTTATAGTTTTTCTCTTTAACTCAAGCAGAATGATGAAATGCAGAGATCAGTTATCTAATTTTAAAAGAGATTTCTACTTGTGGAACATATTCGACTTGATCAACAAACATTGCCTGAGAAAAATAAGGAATGCGAGAGAGAGAGAGAGAGAGAGAAAAGCAAAGTAGGAGATGGAGATGAATGGAAGGAGAGAAAGGGGGGGGGTGAAAGGAGGATAAATTTAGTTTATTTCTATTTTCTAAATCACAGTTCCACTTATCAACCAAGCTGAAATTATCAAGAGAAACACTGAATACAAACAACACTGTTGCCATTCTGTGCTCTCCCCTGCAAGGTTCACTGAAGGTGAGATGTTTCTTGAGCTTAGTCCCTCTGTCCTCCAGACCAGTTCCCATCAAGAATCACAGCAGTGTTCCTAGCTCACTGAATCTTCTCTGTTTTAATCTCAAGAATCAAGGAATCTTTGACAGTCAGAGGAACAACACTGACGTCTTTTATTTATAAAAAGAAAAATGGAGAAACCTCAAGATAAAGCAGATCTTCCTTAAGTCAGAAGCTCTCTGACTCTCAGATTGACAAGTGAACATATGCATACAATTTATGTATCATATTTATGTATATATACCTAATGTATGAGATACAGTATATAATAATTAAATATATATTATATCAAATATATTATGTGTTATTTTGTATATATGATGTATTATTAGATATTAGTCTATGATTTTTCTGATTTTCCCTATGTTATTGTTTTCACATTTTTTGTAAAGTTGATATGTACAGGGGTTACAATTACAAATGTAAGGTAATGAATAGATTTCTTTTTGAATAGTGTCCCCTCTCCCTCACTATCTCCAATGTCTACCTTGCCAACTACTCCCCAAGCCCAAGTTGTAAAGTTCATTTCCAATATATTGTCTAATAAGTATTATTGTCACATTGTTTTGTTATTATATGTTATGTCATTTATGTATCTTCTTAAGATTTAACAAAATTTTTAAACAATGTATAGGTGAACTCTTCTATTTTACAAAATATTGTCCTACTGATTATAACTTTACCTGGAAATATATCCAACTAATCATAAGGAATAACTTGAGGGAAAAACTCACTCTGAAAGAGTTTCTATGGTAGGTATTGAAGTTTTCACTAAATATCATTAGTTAAGTATTAGGGAAAAGGTATACAAAAAGGTGAATTAACAGCAAGTTAACCCTGCTTTCACTATATTTGATGTCAGTATAACTTGTAGAGGAGATGGGGAAAAACAAGTCAATTAAGGATACAGGTGGCCCTGTTACAACAATGAGAAGTACAAGTTGGCATGTCGAAAACGAGGTTTACAATGTTGTGGGGGGGTGGGGGGGGTAGTGGGGGAAGGCGGGGAGGATTGGGTGGGGGGGGAGGCTGGGAAGGGATGTGAAGGGTAAACAAAGGAGGAGGCTGCAATGCTTGATAAGAAATGTATGCATTAACCTGCCCATGTAATTGTAACCCCTCTGTACAGTGTGTTCACAAAAAAAAAGAGCAAGTTAAAATGACAAATTTAGGGCATCTCTCTTTTATAGGCAATGTTTTAACAGTGGATGTAGGAGGAAATGTGTTGAGGAGTTGGAGATGTACTTCAGGGGTTTGTTGCCATTGAAGAAAATACTAAGGATTATGAAATATATGATCCTATGAGTGAAAATAGCCAAGGGAAAAATTGGTCCATGGATGGGAGAAGTTAAAATCCCAGAGAAAGATACAGAAAAGTGTTCAACACTACTGTAACAGTTACACAAATGAGGATGCTGAAGCAGAGAATTAAGGAACTTAACAGCTGCCACACTCCATAAAGCATGCAAGGCCGGGGACACCAGGGCACATTGTTTGACCTCAGGCTCACAGGATAGCAGCTGGATTGTGTCTATGGATGTGCATTTTACCTTGAGTCTGCAGAGACATACATGGAATAGAGTGGCACAGATCAAAATGCTTGCTTGAGACACATCTTGCAGATGGAAAAGGACAGGTTAATTTTTATTGGGGAACTAGAGGACAGACAGGGAGGACATTCAGAGCCAGAGAACTTAAGCCAAAGTAAGGAGAGGATCACACTGTCCGTCAAGACATGCATGGTTGAAGACCAGCCATCCAATGAGCACAACTTGAAGGAGCAGGAAAAACCTAAGGTGGGTTTAGGTAGACCTGATTTTCTTTTTCTTTTTCTTTTTTTTTAGTATTCCACAATCTTTATTTTTTAATTGTGAACATACTGTACAGAGCGGTTACAACTACATAGGTAAGATAATGAGTATATTTCTTATCAACCATTGTAGCCTCCTCCTTTGTTTACCCTTCCCATCCCTTTCCCAGCCTCCCCCACCCCCCACCAAAGTTGTAAAGTTCGTTTTCGACATGACAACTTGTACTTCTCATTGCTGCATCTGGTCCACCTTATTTAAACAACTTGTTTTTCCTCTTCCCCTCCACAAATTATACCGAAATCAAATACAGTGATAACAGTGGTTATACTGTGGGGGAGGGACATACAAAGCAACAAAGAAATAACCTTATAAATGTGTTAGAAACAATCCATGAAAGAAATAAAAACATTTGAATACGTATCTTAGGGTTCCTTTCCCTAATATCACCTTATCTGACCTTTTCGCCTTGACTCATACATATACTAGATATTGCAAATAAGGGAAACCATGGGACCTATGTTTCTTTGGGCTTGGTTTACTTCACTTAATAAAACTTTTTCCAAGTCTTAACATTTCCTAACAAATGGGGCAATGTCATTCTTTCTGATGGAGGCATAGAATTCCATTGTGTATATATACCACATTTTCTTGATCCATTCATCTACTGAGGAGCATCTGGGTTGGTTCTGTATCTTAGGTATGGTAAATAATGCTTTATTCAACACATGTGCTAGTAGCATTAGTATTGTGTACACAAGAGATCTTTATGTTCATGATTCCTACCTGAGGCTCAGGGCATAACAGTCTTATTACACAAATTGTGAAGTGGTTGATCTCCACTCTCATATCCACTCTTCTTTCCTCCTGAATCATAGCCATTCCTAAAATGTCTTGGTCTCAAAGCCAGGTGTGGGGGGACGTTATATGTACCAGGAGTGTATCAAAAGACAGGTCCACCTTCAAAGTTCTACTCATTAAATGCTGGTAAATAGAAAGGCATGAGTTTTACAGTTTCATTATAGCTTCCTTTGGCTTCAGAAGTGTGATATTTCAGGTCACAGATACATCATAACAAGGGTCGAAGTTGGTGAATCTCTCAAATCCAGATCCACATGCAGTTCATTTAGTGAAGGATGATGAAGAGAACTCTGACTTTGGCAGGGACTTTCCCTGTGTGTGAGTTTCTGACTGTGAGGAGCAGTGTTATTTTGTGTGCCTGCAGCAGCTGCTTGGACTCACAATGATGAGAGGTTGATTCACTGTCATGTAAATGTCCTGCTAGTGGCTCCCCAGATGTGACATCCTGCACTAGGGTGGACAGTGTCCCCACATGCTGGTCCTGATGTGGGAGCCTTCCTTACTGTGCTCTGCCTTCACTGTCTGTGGCAGTTTTTCCTTGCTTCCCATGCTAAGGATGTCTTCTCCATTCCTTGTGGCTTCATTGCCTTGCTCACCCTTTACTGTGTTTCATTTCATCAAATCTGAACCTGCTGGCACCACAAGTTCTAGCCCAGTTACTCAAAAATGTTATTCTGAACTGGAAGAGACCATAGTGTAAGAACATGAAGGTTTATGAAGCAGAAGAGACTGAAGTAGATGTGAGTTCTTGGTTTAGGGAACATCTTATTTTGAGGGGGGTCTTTTGAGGCTATTGATAGGAGACAGGAATGTTACCTGAGAGATTTGGAGACAG